GGAACAGCGGCACAACATTGCATGGAGGAAATGGGAGAGGGAAAGGTTCATTTTCCCCTTTTAGAATCGGTAAAACATCAAAAACCCCTTTCGGGCAAAGTGTCTCAACTAATTTTGTCGCCCTTTAGCTAACCATTTTGTTGGAATTAATTGTGCCCTAGATAACTCTGTATACATCAGAGTGGCAACAATGCTGTGTGCATACTATCCACAATTTTATAAGTACTCTAAATGTTCCAAAAGGGTTTTTTTACATATTTTTTTCTAATTTTAAGTATATACGTATTTTGATGTTTTAGTATTTTTTTACTTGCATTTTTTGCAGAGGTTTTTATGGCCCTTTTCCCAGGCCAGAACTTGACATTCTTTGCTACAATATACTTCCTCACAGTTGGCACATCTTTTCAATTTGTCTCCATCTCCGCCAATACAGTTGCCACAGCGACGGAATGGCTCAGGACCATACGTCAAGGTATTAATTTCCCCAAAACCTAGAATAAAGAGCATGACATAATTAATTTATTTTAACTAGTGAAAGGGTAATAACCAAAGGTTATGGAGTGTGGGCAAGATCGATCGAAGGTCAAAACGCTTTTAATTTGGTCCAACGCGCGCTGTTCTTTGCGTAAGTTTCACGTCATAGAAGGTCAAAACTAGCCTGCCTACAGCCTCCCGCTCCCCTCTGAAGAAATCGGAGAAGGGGCCTCTTCTGCTATTTTTTCTCAGGGCCTGAGTGGGCGGCTGTACACAGGCTACAGGTCAAAACACGCATGATCAGATCGCAAGTGATAGAAGGTCACACGATTGAGTTCTACTCTCTGCATTCCGTTCATGCCAAGAATTCGTAACAGCAACCTGAAGATTACGATTCCGGGCTCCTCTGGTTGCCCGCAATTAATATATCAGGGGTGTTTTTCACCGAGACTGCTGGTATTTATCCGTGAATGTCAATGTGATTTCTTTTGTTTTACACTCCTCAGCCTTTTCTTTTTTCTCTTTTTAGTTCACTTTAATTTATTACTTGTAAACTGTTTAATGTGTAATAAAGTTGTTATTGTTGTTGTTGTTTGAAACTGGCTCAAAAAGCCCTTTGCAGACTATGGTCAACGGCTCAGTGTGAGTTATTCGGAGAAATGATTTACACAAATTTATAGAGCGCCGTGCGGGAGCCATATTGGTGCCGATCGGGATTGGAACCAACAAGGCGGCAGAAAACCAGCATAAACAGTCTGAGTTTTAATGTCTGTCACTGAGTTTTCAAGGCTTGAATTCATCTTTCAAGGAACTAATAACTCGATTAAAGTAATAATTTTTCTCATGAAATAACTATTGAGATAGCAAAATTCAACAAAATAAGACAAACTCACTTTTTTTAATCTACGTAACAGTTCTCTCCGTCACGCAAAGGCTTAAAAATTCAAGCTTACTCTAACATAAAACGAAAAAATCCTTGAGAAGTGAAAATTTTTATAAATATATATAGTTTTTAGCTGCTCTAAAAATACTTCATCAAAGCAAAAACGCAGGAGGATCGATGATTCTTTAGTTTGAATTTTGATGACTTAATGTGCGTTGACTCTTTTTTAAAAGTAAATTTTGAAGTTTCTGAGTCTCTGTATCTCGTTCAAAATTCTTCCGGTAAACACCAAATTCGAGGATTTTGTAAACCTCTGGTTCCTCTTTCTGACTATGTGGGTCTCGTGTGGTTTGTCCAATAATAATACCACCTTCCGTGGTTTGATTGAATTAGGGAATGATTTGATAAATTTTGAAAAAGAAAATTGTACTTTTTCTTTGTTATCATAAAAGTAATGTGGTCGGTTGAACGCTGGAGAAAACTGGCCTGTTTCCGGTTTCCCGGAGTCCCAGCAACGATAGCCTAAAAGCGGAAAGGGGTATCTTTTTTTCTGTCCAGTATTGAACGGCTGGAACTGGCCACAAAATTGTAACCAAAAAACTTTATGGGCCAAGCATTGCATGGCGTTTTTTCCCCCTGGCCTCACGATACGCGGCTTTCGACTAAATACTTCCTTTCCTTTCTCCCTCGCGGTCTAAATTTACCCCTTCCCCTTCCCTTTTAACGCCTGCCACGCAGGCTATAGTTTGAAGATCTCCTTTTAAATGGAAATTTCCGAGATATTAATGGAAACATTTACACTTGATATTGCCATCGGTTTAAACATGACGCATGCTTTCTTTTATGCTGAGAGCGTAAACGCTGCCGTGTGGAACAGAGCGAGGTTGGTTGAAGCTAAGCTTAGCGGGTGTTTACATGACACCGGGGCGCCAGCGTGAGTTCACTCCGGTTCCCTCTCATGCCTCTATATTTGTTTGCATGATACACAATGTCATGCCGGCGCGAGTCACTCCGGCGTGAGTTCACCCCGGCTGTTGTACCAGGGCGAGAATTTCACACCGGTACGAAATTTCGTAACGGTATCATGTAAACACGAAACGACCACCCATTTCGGTGTGAAATCGGTCTGCCGGTGGACTGGAACGGGTAGCGCATGCGCAATCTTTGCGATTTTCAATCGCACGGGTATTTTATCAACATGAAGTGTACCTTCAAATAACCGAGACATGAAATGACCCATCATCATGTAAACGCGATACAAAATCAAAAAGTCACCCCGATATGAAACTGGCGCCGGTACGAGTTTTATCATGTATACAGTACCCCCCCCCCCCCCCCCCCACACCCACGTGAAGAGGAAGGCGGACGCCGCAGCTAAACACGAAGGAATGTAGAAAAAGGAGAGCAAAAAAAACGCAACAATACCACAAAATTAAAGCTATTAATCTTAAAAAAAATACACCCATAGCAAAATTGAGTCAAAGAAAAAATACAACTTACCCCCCCCCCCCCCCCAAAGACACCATGGGAAGAGAGTACGGTTCACCAGCGAAGCAAGTATTGACTGAGACAGGAAAGGAGCAATATATACGGCGAAAACTACCAACTTTGCATTTTGAATGCAATTGGAAAAACACCCTCTTTGACAAACGTGTGAGGACAAACATTGGCAGAGCAACTGCCAAGACATACAATGGGATCGTCATTTCCATAGTGTGCGATATCGATAAGTGATTTTAAATGTTTTAAATTAATTACTTTAATGTTTGTTGTCAAATTATGAAAAAAGACACTTCAATAATGCTACAAACCAGCTTACAGTATTTTACAGAGATGTACTGAAATACTTTACTTTTAGGGTTTTATTTTTCGGAAAAAGAAATGCAGGAACCATTGATTTTTTTGTCCCTTATATTGTAAAATAATTCATTTAAAGGTTAAGAGAAAATTTACCCTTTTGGTTGCTTTTAACTAAGATTTTGTCTCTGCTAATGTAATACTAAACCAACACCCTTGATATTAGCCTGTGCCACAGATGGAACTAACTCGGCTCCGGGGTAAGTCCGTCTGCAAAACAGCGGCAAAATCCTAGTTCTGCCCTACCCCCCCGTGTGTGTACCAGGATTTGTGTACGTGCAGGGACTGGACTGTTAAAAATGCCATTGTCCATTTGCCAATCATGTTGAAGGGAAACTCAAAATGCCGGTAATTCGTTGAGTGCGTTGGAGCCCAGAACTAGGATGCATTCTAACCAGGGTTAGAATACATCTGCAACACAAGCTACCGTGATATTTAATGTTCAAAATATTAAGTAACATTACTATTTTAGTATTCTATAATGTGTTGAGATTGTTGAAAATTTGGAAGACTAATGAAGTTGTCTCCAAGACTGAATAAACTTATGCTATGACATTGTGTCCCTAGAGAGGAGGTGTTATCAGTAGATGTCAATTTTGTATACACTAACATTTAATTCACCTAATATGTCACCTTATATCGCCTTAAGCCGTCTAAAGTCGCCTTAAGTCGCACAAGATTTTGAGCAAATTTTTCCTAAAGTCGCCCTAAATCGCCCTAAGTCACCTAAAATTAGGGCGACTTAAGGTCCCAGAGTAGGCCTATAAAGAATTTGCTGTGAAAGCCTGGGAAAGAGAGATGCAACGGTGTCGCTAATACTGTTACCACTTAAATGTAAATAAGTCTGAGAGGAATTTGCTGTGAGTTTCTGGGAAAGTTCCAAGGCACCATCGTCGCCAATACAGTTATTACCCAAATCCAAAGAAGTCAGGCAGGAGTTTGCTGCGAGGGCCTGAGACAGAGAAGAGGCACCGGTGTCACCAATGTTGTTATCAGATAAATTCAAAGTAGTCAGGGAGGAGTTTGCTGCGAGGGCCTGAGAAAGAGAAGAGACACCGGTGTCACCAATAAAGTTACGGCCCAAATCCAAAGTAGTCAGGGAGGAGTTTACTGTGAGGGCCAGTGAAAGAGAAGAAGCACCGGTGCCACCAATTCTGTTACCAGATAAACCAAGAGTAGTCAGGGAGGAGTTTGCTGAGATGGCCTGGAAAAGAGAAGAAGCACCAACGTCGCCAATAACATTAAAATCCAAATTCAAAGTAGTCAGGGAAGAGTTTGATGTAAGGGCCTGAGAAAGAAAATAAGCACCATCTTCACCAACACTGTTATGCATCAAATTCAAAGAAGTCAGGGAGGAGTTTGCTGCGAGGGCCTGAGAAAGAGAAGAAGCACCATCTTTACCAATGTTGTTATACATCAAGTCCAAGGAAGTCAGGGTGGAATTTGCTATGAGGGCCTGGAAAAGAGAAGAAGCACCAGTGTCACCAATCCTGTTATAACCCAAATCCAAAGTAGTCAAAAAGGAGTTTACTTTGAGGGCCTGGGAAAGAGACGAAGCACAGGCGTCACCAATACTGTTACCACTTAACTTCAAGGTAGTCAGGGCGGAATTTGCGGTGAGGGCCTGACAGATAGAAGAAGCACCGGTGTCACCAAAACCGTTACCACTTATCCTCAAAGTAGTCAGGGAGGAGTTTGCTGTGAGGGCCTGAGAAAGAGAAAGAGTACCAGCCTCATCAATACTGTTATAACTCAAATCCAAAGAAGTCAGGGAGGAGTTTGCTGCGAGGGCCTGAGAAAGAGAAGAAGCACCATCGTTACCAATACTGTTATACATCAAATCCAAGGAAGTCAGGGAGGAATTTGCTGTAAGGGCCTGGAAAAGAGAAGAAGCACCTGCGTCGTCAATTAGGTTACGACTTAAATCCAAAGTGGTCAGTGAGGAGTTTGCTGTGAGGGCAAGAGAAAGAGAAGAAACACCAGCGCCACCCAAAAGGTTACGACTTAAAGTTAAAGTATTTAGGAAGCAGTTTGCTGTGAGAGCCTGAAAAAGAGAAGAAGCACCGGCTTCACCAATACGGTTACCATTTAAATTCAAAGTATTTAGGCAGGAGTTTTCTTTGAGGGCCTGGGAAAGAGACGAAACACCGGCATCACCTATAATGTTATCACCCAAATCCAAAGTAATCAGGGAGGAGTTTCCTGTGAGGGCTATGGAAATTGCAGCAGCACCAGCAGCGTTTATCCCAGTTAAGTAAAAATCTTTAGTCAGGGACATGTCAAGGTGCTCACCTAAAGTACGAACTAAGCGAGTTTGAACGTTTTCCTCATCACTTGAGCATTCCAACAAGCACTCACAAGCTAACTTGAAATATGACTTATAGTCTTCGGCAGAGTTGATTTTTTCAGCGATATTAATAAAGAACGATACGGCAGTTTCCTCACTACGTGAGGCTATGATTCCACTCATGAACAAAAAGACTTGTCTCAGTTTATCCAAGTATCTCTTATCATCTGCAAGTGAAGAAAAGTCTCTTTCTTTGTCGATAATCTGAAACGCAAGAAAAAAGCCAGCAAAAAACTCCTGAAAGCTCTTGTGTAAAAATGCACAACGCGTGCAAGGCTTGCGCTTGGAGCCACCTTGCTGAAAAGAAAAGAATCCAAAATTGATAGGCTTGACGATTTCGTCCTTTTTTTCAAAGTATAACTCCCCTTTGAGGAGGGATTCGAAGGCGAAGCTGCCCAACTGCAAAAGTTGTTTTTTATACACTAAAATCAAGTCTTCATCGGTGCTTCCAAGTCCGTTTTTTTTCTCATATCTTCTTAAAACAAAGAAAACCATTTCAACGTACAGCTCAGTTCTGCTTGTTGGAAGGACACCTTCGAAATCCTCGAAAAGACAACATAGTAAAGCTGTATTAAGTGGATTTTTAGTTAACTCGCCTAACGTTTCGAGCGGATCACCAGTGGAATACTCTGGGAGTATCAATCGTTTAATCAGCTTCTCAGCCAAGTGTTCCTTGCCTTTAAAATACTTTCTGATAAAACTTTCGGCATCCTCTTTAGAAAATCCTACAATCTCCCACAGGGTGTCACAGTATGGCCTTACTTTCTTTCCAGCCTCATGACGAGAAGTAACGACAATGTGACAAGCTGCGAGGAGTTTACTCTGAACGAGCGAGTAGTACATGTCTAGTTTACGGGAATCTGCTTCGTCCAAACCATCAAGTAGTAGGAGAACTTTGGCCTCATTTTCCTGGATGTATGTGAAAAAATTCTCTTTAGCCTGTTTGTCAATATCATCAGGAAGAAGTTGATCGTCAATCGCTTCCCAGATGCCAGATTTGATATCATTGCATCGAAGCAAGAGCAGCACTTCAATCGATGGAAAAGATGCGTCCCATTCATCTTGTTCATTTGCCCAGTCATACGCCAGTTTTTGTGAGTAGGTGGTTTTTCCCATACCAGGTTCCCCTTCGATCAAAAGAATCCGTGGTTTCCGGCAATCAGGGTGGGGTCTAAAGATAGCGGTCATGTTGGTGATTTCATCATCCATTAATGTTCCTCGTGTTTTTTCTTTGTTCACGATCTTCAGCCTGGTGAAAATGTCATTCAGGTTGAAATCAAGTTCGTCACACCATGGAAATGGTACCAGCCGTCCTTCACGACGTTTGTAAAGCTGACGAATCCTTTTTATGATACTTGGAACCCCTAGGAAGTACAAAATACACACTATAAATCGAATCGGTTTGATTTTACTACTCTGTCTTAGATACGCCTTTTTTTT